ACACACACACACACACACACACTCACACACTCACAGGCTTACAATCACATGCATTATATAAATGAGCAGTAATATAAACAATAATAATCTTAAGCTAGAGATACATACTCAATGTTATTCTGATGCATGCTCTAAGGTCGTATCTTTTCCCTAAATCTTACTGCAGCCTGCTGAATGGCCAGTAACATCACGCACACGGCCCGTGTGAGAGCCCTCTACAAGGCTCTGCTGAAACTGCACCGCGGCCTCCCCGTACAGATGAAGGCGTTGGGCGATCAGTACGTCAAAGAAGAGTTCCGTCTCCATAAAGAAGCCAAGCCGGAGGAAACGGAAGTGTTCATGCAGGAGTGGACGGTGAGTACGACTCGTGGCGGACCATGGTTTGGTGGCTCCGAGTTCAAAGCTTGCTCCGTTTGAGCCGATGGTGAGAGGGCGCCACCAACTCAAACTCTTTTGTTTTTTTCTCTTCCACTGTACGTAGTTTCTGTTTATCTGACGGTCAGTCTAAGAGGGTTATGGTCAGTCTAGTGATGTAAGCTTTGTATGAGGCCGACAACTGTCAAATCCACAAACCTTAAGTACTGGTTATCTTTTTTGTCCTCTTATAGCAGTGACATTGGTATGAAGATATTTTGGGATTCAATAAAAGACATTTCGCCAAGACAAATCAGTAGAAAATTTATGCCAAAGTACTCTGTTGCAGGCATCTGAAGTCTTCCCCACAGTAAGGAAGAACTGTGGGTTGAAAAAATGATTACTTCAAAGTTCAAAGTTCTTTAAACTTTTTCGTAAAAGTTTTCCCAAGAGCAGGAACTGGAATACATTACATGTAGTAGTTCGTCCTTTGCCATCTCTGTCTGGAGAGTTCTGAATTCTGATACTCAAAAGTGTCCGGTCCTTTTTTATAGATGATAAGACATGATCAATGATTGATTTTTAAACCATACTTAACTTTTTAAAAGTTAAAATCCTTTCCTTTCCGTTATAATGTCAAAGTACCTTAAATTAAATATGCTATATACCTGTAATATCATACGCTATAGAGTAATTTTATAGTAAAAGCTCTTGTATTATATACAGTGGGTGTCGCATTCAACGAGGTTGCCAGGACCGGCTTGTTGTCCTCGTTGAATCCGACCTCTCGTTGAACGTGACTAAGACTAAAGAAAAGAAAGGAGACAAGTTATTATATTACACGATGTTCCAATACCAGTAATTGAAACAGTTGTTCCCCCTGATGGCGAAAATCTCTAACAGCATTAGTGTGCGCGAGTTTGAACTGTGTTCTGACCATCATTTCTGACTTTTAAAATATTTTTTTTCCGGAACACTTTTTGTGTGGAAACATACCCTCTCACATCTAGGCTTAGAACTACATACAGTAAAGCCGGGAGCTTAGATTTTCTGATCAGGGGAAGAAAAGAAAGTTGAAAAAAATGAAGGTATCCCATCCAGAGTTCATCCAGTTTCACACAGCCTGCATTGCGTTCCCGCCCACCCCCTCCCATCCCCACCGTAGGCTAGCCCTTGCCCATCCTCTTGGCTTTGGGGTCCATATTAGGAGGCACACTAGATCTAGCAATACAATGTGTTTGGAATCGAGGATGGGCCTTGTGCTTCGCATGAGATGGAGAGAAAGGAGAAACGTTATTCGTTTTGGGGGCCGCTAATTGCTTTTATTTGGTTATCGCGACCTAGTTGAAAGCGACTTCGGTCTGTTTGCAACCTTGTTGGAGCTGACGTACATTTACAAAGAGATATAGAGGGAAAAAAATCGGGGATTAAGGATTGCCTCATGGGAGCCGACTTCTCTTTGAATGCGACACCCACTGTATAAAACTACCATGGCTCTGAATTGGCTGGTCTTGTAATGAATGAAGTGATCACTAAAGGGTGGTCTATGGCTGGCACGCAGGACAGCTGAGTTTAATTCCCTGAATGGGGAGAAAATGTTATTGAGTATCTCGGTGTTCCTGCTGGGGTACTGTATCCGTCTCGTCACGGGCTCGCCTCAGAATCCCACCTCCTAATTTATCTAAAATTATATCAATAGGGGCGTAAAAAACACCTAATTAAAAAGGGAGTGCTTATTTAGGCCACATATGGCCTAAATAAGGTAAGGGAGGGGGGTTTAGCTTATTTAGGCCACAGTGGACTGTGGCCTAAATAAGGTAAGGGAGGGGGGTTTAGCTTATTTAGGCCACACATGCTCAAACTACCCTTTTCAGGCAACTGAGTTCGTTCCACTTTCATAATGGTGCACCTTTCTCATTTAGTACGGTTTTGTCTCAGTGTACAACTTATAAATCATAACCAAAATGAATATTGTAAAGAACAAAGCACAATACGCAAACTTTTGCTCAATCCCAATGGTTTGAATGAGGGCCAGATTTTTCCTTCATGGAGGGGCAAAAGCTAGGCTACCACTTTGGCACACTTTGGTCAAGTGAAAAGGTCAAATCCTCCGAATGGACTTCCGGGTTAAATTTGGGGTATAAAAAGAGTGTACACTACGTGGCTGAGTCAAAGTTACACTATCTTTGCCTGAGTTACACTCTCTCGTACTGTCTCGTAGTAGTACATGTAGGCTAGTAGGCCTAGTAGTAGTAGTAGTAGCAAAGATCGTGTGGAGAATATTTGGTAGTAGATTCTATCTAGTAGGCAGTTTAGTGAACGTGCTCAGGGCGAATCGGCCTCGATAAGCCCTGTAGACTTTTGTGATCGGCCACGAAGCCTCGTGTTTTGATGGGTCTAGATCTAAACAACTCATTGTTATTCGCACTGCCACATCCGACAGGCCTAGATCTACATCTTTTTAAAAGGAAAAGAAAGATCTTCAAAATGGTTGAATTCGCGTGAAAATCGATTCGGTAGAACTAGAACTATTAAAATTTGCTTCTGAAAACAAGGCAATTTTTATACGAAGGCCATTTTTATAACTCGATGAAATAAAAACTACTGGCTGTGTACTGTGTTATTCTGTATAAAAATAAATTATGAAACTTCAGGACGTATTATTATTTTCCAGCATCTTTTGACGCCTGAGCTGTAGAGGTTGAAGTTTTCACAACACTAATAGATCTAGTAAGAGGGTTAGGTAATAGGGCTTTCCGTAAAAAATGCATAGATCTACAAAAGCCGAACCACCGAATCGACCGGGCACCTCGCTCTCCCCTGCACACTGTGATAACGTGTTGCTGCGGTATGGCATTATTCAACTATTAATACGTGCGGCTATGGCATTTGGGATGTACTGACTGAAAAAAATTCAGTTTTGTTTTTATTTTACCATATATTTGACTTTAATAGTGCAGGCGATAGCAAGATCTAGATTCCCTGTCTAGAATCAGTAGTAGCAGGCCTATGCTAGAAGCAGCCAGAGAGCCTACAACTGCTAGATCTAGATCTAACTTATTATTGCTATGCCTTTGGGCTTTGGAATTGAAATAAAACGAATTGCACAGTTCTAGTTACTTTTAGATTCAGCAAGTAACTGTATTTCCAGAGTCAATAATAACAAATCTCAGCATAACAATCACTTTTACTTGTATTAGAATAATTAGATCCAACTTTTTTTTCTAAAATCTGTTTTGCGCAAACTTAATATTTTCTCTACTTGTAGAGCACAGAATTTACATTGTAAGCCTCTGCTCAGTCTTTTAGTATACATAATAAAATACACACACACAAGCACACACACACATATATATATATATATATAGAGAGAGAGAGAGAGAGAGAGAGAGAGAGAGAGAGAGAGAGAGAGAGAGAGAGAGATCTATATAATCATTTTATGTTAACATGTCATAAAATCAAATTGTGCCATTTTCTTTGAAAAGAATAGCATTATCAGTGGACTTTTTAGACAGCGAGTCTCTGATTCAATATTTTTTTTAAAATATGCTAATCAATGAAAATTGCAAATTGATAATAGTTTAGTCCTGTAGAGGATAGGTGGACTCTGGGGTCTGCAGAGCGAAATACTAGGTTTTAGGATGTGAACCCCGGAGTCACCATAGTGAAATAAGGTTTGGTTTAAGTAAGGATTGGTGGACCCCGGGGTCAACGTAGTGATAAATAAGCAGGTTTAAGGTGGACCCCGGGGTCTACCTAGCGAAATACTAGGTTTTAGGACAGGTGGACCCCGGGGTCACCGTAGTGAAATAAGTATGTTTCTTTAAAGATTGATGGGCCTCGGGGTCAGCGTAGTGAAATAAGTAAGGTTAATTTTAAAAGGATTGGTGGACCCCGAAGTCACCATAGCCGTAGAGGAATAAGAAAGTTTAATTAAGGATTGGTGGACCCCCGGGACACCTTGATTAAACCTACTTATTTTACTACGGTGACCGCAGGTTCCTCCTATTCTAAAAACCTAACTAGTATTTCGTTAGGTAGACCCTGGGGTCCACCTTAAACCTACTTATTTCAATATGTTGACTCCAGGGTCCACCAATCCTTAAAATTAAACCTAGATCTACCTGTACTTATTTCACTACATTGACCCCAGGGTCCACCAATCCTTAATTAAACCTAGATCTACTGATTTCACTACGTTGACCCCGTGGTCCACCAATCCTTAATTAAACCTATATCTACTTATAATTTCGCTACGTTGACCACGGGCTCCGCCAGCCCTACTATAAAATAAACTGAGATCTACTTATTTCACTATGTTGACCGCGGGGTCCACCGATCCTTAGTTAAACCTTGATCTACTACTTATTTCACTACGCTGACTCCGGGGTTCACATCTTAAAACCTAGCATTTTGTTAGGTAGACCCCGGGGTCCACCTATCCTTTTGGCTAGATAGACCCTGTAGTTTGATAATAACTGAAAACAATACATGCCAGTTGTCATGAATAGTGAAGAAAAATGCGGGGAAAAAAAGACAATGAGGTAGATTATAATTTGTCCAAAAAATTGCAAGTGCAAGTGAAGATCATAAAATAATTTTGTTATTTTCTGGTCATCTTTCCCGGTTTATAAAAAAATTCAGTGGGCCTACTACTAGATCTATGTCTCTGAAGAACATTTTGCTTGCCTTTATTAGCTTTTTTCATGTACATGAAAGCATAGAATATATAGTTTCACACATATATATGCACAATACTTTGAAAAAGAAAGATACGGTCATTGTTGTTTTGATTTTTTACGGAATCCGTTTTACGTTGAGAAAAGCGGTAAAAACAAGTTTAAAAATTTTAAGAATGCCCATAATATTAGTATTAGGAATCGGAAATTACTGCCTAGTTGGCTTACTCTTTAATAACCATGAGCAGTTAAGAAAAAAAAGACAATGATATAGGATTTGTCTAAATATGACCATTAGCAATAAAGATGTTGCCCATTTTGTCCAATTATCCTTGCAGGTAAAATCACCCTGCACTGCACCTCAATAAGCACAAAAGGAATAATTCTGTGACTTTGTATAAAAGTGTGGCCTAAATAAGGTAAGGGAGGGGGGTTTAGCTTATTTAGGCCACAGGTGAGGCCTAAATAAGGTAAGGGAGGGGGGTTTAGCTTATTTAGGCCATATGTGGCCTAAATAAGGTCACCCAATTAAAAAATGATTTTTTCTCTCCCCCCCCCCCCCTCTCCCACATCCTCCTGCCCCTCCCTACCCTCCGCTCCCCCCCCCCCCCCCCACAGAAGTACTATGTGACTTTAGCCAAACAGCTGGGCCAGCGCCGACACAAGCAGTTGGTTGGCAACGACCTCTCGCCCCAGATGTTGGACAACTTGCGGCCCGAGCAGATGGGGCAGCTGCACGAGTTGTTCGTGGAGACCACACAGACGGGCCGCGGCGACGCCTCCAACAGCTGACCTCCGCTTGGGCGAGAATGCGAGATTCTGACCACGGCTTGTGGAAGATTCCCCTTGTCTAGTGTATTGACCTTTTCACACGCGAACTTCTTGGTCAGAAATGACCGACAGTGAAATTTGTTGAAACTGAACTCTGTGGGGCTGCCGGACTGTCTTTGGTTTGCTCGTATTTATATATTTATATATATATATATATATATATACTTCGGTTTTGGAGAGATAACTCAAATAGTGTGTGGACTAAAGGGAAGTAATTCATCTGGAGACTCCCAAATGTCTTAAAAATTTTATTTTTGGAAAACGTTTGAGTATGCAAGAGAAAGAGAGAGAGTGACAGCGAGAAAGTGAGAGGGGGGAGGGAGGGGACTGATAGAAAGAGAGAGGTTGAGGAGAGAGAGATACCAGGAGAGGAAGAGGAAAGAGATACATGGCATGAGAGTGACAGGTATAGAGAGAAAGAGGAAGTGAAAATATAATAATTTACGTAGAGGGAGAGAGGAAGAGTAAATATAATATATAGATCTATACATAGAAAGAAAGAGAGAGATGAAAAGGAGATATAATATATCGTTGTGTCCTTGGGAAAGGCAGTTTACACAAATTTTCCTCACTTCACCCAGGTGGGAATGGGTACCCGGCCATAAACAGTGAAAGATCTTATCAGTGTGTTAGTTGTTTAGCGGCTATAAATGGCTGCTTGCACTGTATTCTTCCCAGGAAGTTGAGGTTGTTTCAGAATGCTCTCAGGTCTGCTGGGGTAATAGTATAGATTGTGAAGTGCATAGAGCTTGCTGTTGAGCGGGGATTTGCGCTATACAAATGTTATTTATTATTATTATTGTGAAGTGCATAGAGCTTGCTGTTGAGCGGGGATTTGCGCTATACAAATGTTATTTATTATTATTATTATTACCGAGTTTTACTGAAGCCAGTCTTCTGAGAGTGCTCCCTAGGATAAAAACAATGATAATTACCCCCCCCCCCCTAGAAAGTGGAAGAGAGTCTTTGATGAGTTGTGATGAGTGAGAAATGTTTGTTTTTTGTCGCGGCAAGATCAGGGCGTGCTGTATGGAACTCCCAGGGCAGTGCCACTGACTCATTGACTGAAGTGTCTTTAGGCCATTCCCAAAGGGGGGACATTTCTCGTTCTTATGCACAGTAGAATTGTAAATGGGCTGATTCATGTCATGCTCATAACTGTGCTTGATCTGCAACAGGGAACAGCTTCTTTTTCTTTCCAAATCCTTACTATCGTCGTTTTTCCTCTTCTTCCTTTGTATGTTTGTCACACTCTTGTGACCCGCTATTTCCGGGGTGCCTTGATAGTCGAAGCAGACTTTGTGCTGTTGAAGCTAGAGAGGTGAGTAGAGTAAGTCTGATTCCCTGTAAGGACTTCTCTGTTGACACCCATCCCTTGGCGCTCATATGACCTTATGCAGCGCCGTAAAACCCTCTTCTATAATAAAAAAAAAAGGAAGTGTCTACGTACTCCCCGATTGGGGTCTACGTAGTCATGGTGTCTAGGTGGACCCCAAAAAAGTTGGATTGTGATTGGCTCGCTGAGCGAGCGGTAGTTTACATTGGTTACAATGCAAGGCTACTGATCATCTCGGGCGGTGTGTCGATCTAGTGTTACTATAATTTATTTATTTTAGCCCAGAGAGAGAGAGTATTTAATGAATAAACGTATCTAGAATCTAGATCTAGATTTTGTTGTGCGCCCAGCCAAGAGTGTGCAGTTCGGAAAGTAGATGATCTAAATCTAGTGGTGGCCTGGTGGGCGAATGACCGAAGAGCGACTCTCGACTACTTGCCTGTGAATTGGCGGAGACACACTAGGCCTATCATCATGCAACTTGATTCACAGGTCCACTATCATAATTATCAACAGTAGGCCTACTTGCCTCTGTAGGCCTGGAGTCTACTAGTTTCAGACGGCTTCTTTTTCGGTGCACGGTTTTGGCACTCCTGTACAATTGCGGTCCCATTTGTTTACATGACGGCCATTGTGGGAGTGAATCTAGATCTAGATCTAGATTTCTAGATCTAAATCTCGATCTAGATCTAGAATCTAGATCAAGATCTAGATCTAGAATCTAGATCTAGATCTAGATTTCTAGGTCTAGATCTAGATCTCGATTTAGAATCTAAATCTAGACCGAACTGCACACTCTTGGCTGGGTGCACAACAAAATCTAGAATCTAGATCTAGATACGTTTCTCTCTCTCTCTCTCTCTTTCTCTCTCTCGGCTAAAATAAATTAATTATAGTAACACAAGATAAATCCAATCACTACCCGAGATGATCAGTAAGTAGGCCTAGCAGCCTTGCATTGTAACCAATGTAAACTACCGCTTGCTCAGGGAGTCAATCACAGTCCAACATTTTTGGGGTCCTCCTAGACACCATGACTACGTAGACCCCAATCGGGGAGTATGTAGACACTTCCTTTAAAAAAATGCTCTGTGGACAAGAATAAAGTTCTGAATCATCAGTTTGTGTTCTGAGTCATCAGTTTGTGTTCTGAGTCATCAGTTTATGTGTTCTGAGTCATTGGTTTATGTGTTCTGGATCATCAGTTTATGTGTTCTGAGTCATCAGTTTATGTGTTCTGAATCATTGGTTTACATGTGGGTTTTTGTGTGTTTGTAGTCTTGTGTGTGTTATTATTGTTGTTAAACTGTCTTGTGTTTCCAGAAGAACAATATCGGTGCCCTAAACGATTTTTGGTGCTATCGGTTTGTTCCTGTGGTGTCGCCCATGTCCTTGTTCTTGTATCAAAGGCAGAACGACGTATCTATCTCTTCAGCAGAAATAGCAGTTTGTAAACCCTATCCGTAGGCCCTGCGGTCATTGCGTAACCCCTGGGTAGTATTCTTCACATTTTAGAATACTTCTAGTACTAGTAGTACAACGATCTCTTTGAAACTTTCAGTATTTCACAAAAAATTCATTTTGACAGACTGCTATGCAAAGCGTACGGATCGGATTAACGACTAAATTTCCTTTTTGGAAAGTGGTGGCGCAAGAGTTCCCCAATGGTATGGATACGATAGTAAAACACGACGTACAGATAGGGTTAAGTGATCAAGCTGCGTAAGTCGCTGCTCTCAATAATGGCAAGTTCAGTTTTGTTTTTTTAATGTAGGTGTTGATAGGGGCTTTAAAAAACCCATTGTTACATATATGTGTACAGTAACAGGAATGTTTCTAAAAAGGTTTACGGACACTCAGGCTATCTATTGTTAAAGAACTGCATATAACTGTCCCCGTGGTTTTGTGCACCCCGCATAATTGAGCAAAATTTGACCTTTTTTTGCATAATTTCTGATTATTTTTCTTAACTTTATCATTCTTTGTTAAAATTAACAGAATCGCATAATTTCACATTTTTTGGCTCATTCTGCATAATTTCATAATTTTTCTTGCATAAAACGACGGGGGCAGATATAAAATGTAAATAAATTACTTATAAGGATACACAAGCCAATTTGTTTGCTTGCAGTTACGGCACTGTACAATGTAATTATTTGTAATGGACTTCCAACTCTGCTTTGCCTTCACTTTGATGTGGTCTGCTTCTTCTCCTTTACCCTGTCCTTGCTGGTTTCTGACCAAAAGTAGATTCTATAAATTCATATCGCCTCATGTCAGCCGACTAAAGTAAAAAACCTGTTTATCCGATTGTTAAGCATCCTGTGGTTCATTCTGTCATGAATGTTTTTGATATACGAGGAGCATGTAGGCCTACCATATACGAGGTGTATGTAGGCCTACCATATACGAGGTGTATGTAGGCCTACCATATACGAGGTGTAGCCTACCGTAGTTGTTTCTACACCCACATTGGCACGATTTGGTTGGAGGACGCCACTTGTAGGTCCTACTTTTATTCTTTCCCTCTTTTGATTCTGTCTGTCTTGCTCTTTACTTGCACTGTTTTCCTGGATCGCTAACAACAACTTGCACTGTTTTCCTGGATCGCTAACAACAACTTGCACTGTTTTCCTGGATCGCTAACAACAACTTGCACTGTTTGTTTGACTGTCATTATTGTGTCCATGTGCTTCTCTTTACTCGTACAAATGACACAATTTAGATCATTTAGGAGGCGGGCTTCCGACCCTGCCTACTGTCAGGACCACCCTTGGCTGAGAGAGATACAACATCACAGCAGAAAGACCGAGCCGAGATTTAAAAAAAAATTTCTCCCCACTCGGTAATTGAACTCAGGTCTCCTGCATGTAACAGTAAAGTGCCTACCACTGCACCACAGACGTTGGTTCAAAAGTACAAAATCTGGTGTTGAAATGCATTATGTTACAAATGTGAAGACTATATAAGGTCGCTTTTAAGTTTAAGCACAAGGGGGCTGTCCCGAAAAATGCTGTTTTGAGAAAATCTAAAAAGGTAGAGTTTTTACCCCTTGTTCAGTTTCTATAAAAAAACTATGAGAGTTTTCTCTATAACTATAACCAAACAAATATACACACCAATGAAACCAAACTTCTCCTATAGGTAGGGCAATGCCCACTTTTGGGGTAGGTCAAGATTTCTGGAAACCCCCGAAATCTGGGTTTTCTCCCTTCCCCCTTTTAGGGTAAGGCCCCCCCTAATATTTAAACAAAAAGTTTACTTTCTATTTTTCCCTTACTGTCTTTTCTTTGGGTCCTCACCGAGTCCACCCCTGCCTCCACAAAAAACCTGGGTAGTTGGCGGGGTCGTTTATAATTGTTCTTCCCCCCCCCCCCCATCGCCCCCTAATTAAAATTGTACGGGGGAAAGTTTCTTCACTTTTCCCCCCCTCAAATTATTTTCCCCCCCTGGGGGGGGGGGGGGGGGGGGGGGGGAGAGGAGGGGGTTGGTAGCAGAAAAAACTAACAAGCAACAAAGCCAAATTGCACCATGTGAATTCTTAAATAAAAATTTTATTCTCCTTCTGTTTGGCAGAAGCCGTGTGCCTGCTAGCCACAAGTGCGCACGTACTTCCAACAGAAATGATACCACATGAAAAACTTCAATCAATCAAAATGTTACAACAAACTGCAACGGGAAAAAAAAAGAGAAAAAAAAAAAAAGCAGAAAGAAAAGCATGGGGAGTGAATCATCCTTGTGAGTCGTGAGATTCCCCAGTCACATCTCTTGTACCTATCACAAAGTTCACATCAAGGTTTTTAACACATTCAAGAAATGTCCAATTTTTTTTTGTCCATAACACAATTACTCATAATAATAATAATAATAATAACAGGAAATATTTACAAAAACAGATTCTAGCCATTAAGAGAAAAAAACCAGTCAGCCGTGTACACATA